GTTTCCTCTTCAGTAAAATGAAGGAGGAGGGGGATTTGAGATCCATAATCTAAGGCAGCATTTCTCAACCACATGCCTTCATTCATGTGTTCCAAGGATATGGACGGGGGTGGGGACACAGGTGAAAACACAGGGTGTGTGTGGGGGGGGGAGGGGGGGGCACAAGAGGCAGGAGGGACACAACATGAAACTAGGGGGCCAACTGGCAGAGGGGAGGGGTACAGGAAGAAAATCATGGTTGAAGGGGCCCTAGGTTGAGAACTACTCATCTAAGGCATAAGATAATCTAGCTTCTTTATAGGAAGTTCTGTCTGGTAAACATTAAAACACTTCACAGTCATCATTTAATGTGCACCTACATGTCAACTTTTAAATGATTTTATGCTAATTTCCACTTAAGAAATAATTCTATTTTGTCCATCTTCTCTAAACCTCAGCTTAATCTCTCTCCTCCCTGGAGTTCTTTTATCCTATAATAAATGCCTCTTTTCTCTTCCTTTCCTATTTTTTTTTAAAGCAACCTTCCCCAAACTAAAACTTGTGCTATTAAAAGAGCTTAGAACTTCCCATTTCCTTGCTAGGGCTAAAATTAAACTGTCCATTCCTTAGGGCCCAACATAACATCTGCCAGATGTCTTGGCATATCACACAAGAAGAATTTCATCTCGTATTATCTCCTCTCTTCTCTGTTTTCTCATAATCAATTAATAGGCTACCAACACCCAGATAGTTTCTTTCCAATTTCTCTAATTTTTCACCAATTTCATAAGAATGTGACCCTCATAAGATGCTTGCTTTCTCTCTTTCTCTCTCTCTCTCTCTCACACACACACACACACACACACACACACACACACACACCTGACTCTAACACCTGACTTATTTTTTCCAGCTTATTTTTCACTGGATATTAGTGATAGATTCTGGAAATGTTTTCCCCCACTTCATTTGAATTTCCTTAATTTCTATATATCAATCCTTCTGTCATACATGCATGTCAGCCCTTTGCAATCTGAGTTTATATGTTTCCTAATTTCTGTCTGTGGCATTGTGAAATACTATCTCTGGTCTCTGATAATCAAGAAACATTCAATACAGCTTTGTCAAAGCTGTCCCATGAGGCAGTCAACTATAAGTCTGATAAAGGTACATACCACAAAGAAGATAAGTAAGGTTACTTGAACCTAGAAATCTCAATACCAAGAAATAAATCAGGATAGACTAGACCCTATTAAACTCCCTCACACAGAAAATGAAACTCTTTCCCAAGACAACTTTTACCATTCTACTTTCAAGAAAACTGACCACAAGTACTCTAACCTCCATTAGTAGAGTTGGATTTTGTTTTTCCTTCTGTATTCCAAAAAACTAACCATAAAGACTACATAGAAAGACTACACACACACAGACACAAACACACAGACACACACACACACACACACACACACACACACACACACACACACCTTTTAGTCTCCTTGTCCTCAGGAGAAAGTAAGACCTTAGGGAATGTGGTCAGTAAGTTATTTCTCATAAATTTAATAGGCGAAACACTATGGTATATGAAGGCCCATGAAGAATTTTTTGTGGCAATGTGTGTCATAGTTCACATGTATTTCTCCAGAATGATTTGTCTGTGATTCTTTACACCTCTGACATAACTTTGCTTAAGAAATCTCATCAACTTGATGTCTCAGAACCGAAAAAGAACCTCTGAGCTTTGACATCAAATGAGAATGTTCATCTTAACACTCTTTTTACTTCTTTTATGGTAGTGTATGCAAAACAACTGTCACGATTTAAATGTGTTTGTTTAGATAAATTCAAGAAATGTATCTTTACAATGATGGTGCTTTCTGGGCTGATCAGTATTTTTCGGGACTAGTTAATACATATTCTCAAACTCCAGAAAATACCCTTAGACACTAACTTCTTTCCCTCTAGAAAAGTTTGACTCTAAGATTATCTATAAAGATACCAAAACATATGACCACAAAGTGGAAAATGCTAAGTCAACTGCAGGACTGGTAACAAGTTTGTCACTTTTTCTACTGAAATAAGTAATCAACCAGCTATCCTGGTATCGACAACAAAAAGATAGGAAGTTTGCTTCAAGAACAACATATGATGTATGTATGTTTACATAAACATATATGGCTAATTAGATGCCAAGTTTTCTGGTAATTACTTCCCCCAAACTCTTTTTTGTTTCATTGTATTTCAACATCCAGTAGCATCTACATATGCATTATCAAACTTAAATAGCACTGACAGCATTCAGTGACCCAAAGCATTGGTATCAAAAGACAACATTCAAAAATGAATGATGAAAGGTATGATTTCAAGTAAGATTTTTTTTTAAATCTCCAAGTCTTCTTAGAAAGGCCTAGAAGTTTAATGGGGGAGCAAGGCTCTGAAGATAAGTATTTCTAAATGAGTATACACTGAGCATCAATTGAAAATCTTGTAAAGTACACATCTTCTGCAAAAACAGTTTTACACCAGTGACCAGAGACAATTATCAGGTAAAGAACTACTTATTTCTTTTCTCCTTTCACACCCCTCAGACGAACAATAACCCTCAATTAATGACACAACAGTTTGGTTTGAAATATGTGATGTTGTCACATACAGTACTGTGCATTTACTGAGTGACACTGCTACCAAGCTACTCAACAGCATCTAATTACATCTAGGATCTAAAACTAATTCAATATACACAAAAATACTGTAGACCTAAGTAAGTTTACACACGAAAATCTCACAGATCATGAGAAAGCAAAGCAAGGAAAAGGCTGTTTTAAGTCGCTCACTAAGGTACTCTTTATTTCTGTCGAAGCTGGTACCTTTCTCTATTTCTTCTTAGTTGAAAACAAGATCCAGTCAGTCTCTCACAATGTACTAATTGGTACTGAATCTCCTCCAAGTTTTCATGCCACTGTTGGAGCCCCTCCTCACCTATCTTAAATAGTCCATCTAAAATTCTTCCAACATCTTCCCTCACCCTCAAGATGGCTACCTTATCTCATGGAAAAGCAACATCTTCATAGTTGGCTTTTATAAATTCCTCAAGCATCTCAGGATTTAGTTCTTTCCTTGGATCAATCACATACATTCTCTAGAAGTAATCTGTGAAGAACTCCAATCAATGTCTGTGGTCTGGGGTAGGACTGAGTCCTTTCTTCAGTTCACCCTCACAAAATGTCTTCCTACAAGACTAATAAATCCCTCCCAATTAAAGGAAGACACCTGGACATAAGGTTTGTCAACTGGCAGAAAAATGTAAAAAATTTGTTTCCATCATGCCACTGTTAAGAAGATATCTGTATTTCTAAAGATTCACCTCCTGGAGAACACAGATGAGCTGGATGGAAGGGAAGGGAGAAAACAAAGGAACTAAAAGAAGGCCTGATACACAAATGGAACAACCTGAAGAGAAACATAGACCCTGGAGAAAGTGGTGTCAGTCAAGGCTGAGAGTTGCTCTGAAACCTTGCAGGATTTGATGGTGTCGTTTGCACAAATGAGCCCAAACCAGACCATATAGTCTTGCGATGCATCAAAACATGATTCTGAGCAAGCCCCTGAACTCCAAGAGCCCAGCTTGGGGCCACCACCACCTTCACAATGAGGAAATAACATTTCCTGGGGACTTGCGGAAAAACCTGGAGCAGCTTCAAGTTGTGTGAAGACCTCAATGAAAAATGTTTAAGGTTTCGCCTAGCCTTTCCTGAAGGAGGTCAAATCCTTCAGGAACACTCAGAAGGGAAGGGGGGGGGGTGGTGAGGGGATTCCAAAAGTTTACTTTAAAATGGAAACAAAGGCCTCCATAACTTGAGAAAGCACTACTTGGGTGGGGGGAAAATCTGAGCAGCCCTTAAAAGCCCCTCATTTCCTTGCATAATGAAGAGATAGGGAGGAACCACCACCAGATTGGGCCCCTGGAAGGGGAGAAGGAGCAAGCAGTAAAGTCTCCTGCTCCAGTCAGCACCAACAGGGCTCCAAAATGGAGAGATCCATAATTTTATAAACACTTCTCATCTCAGCTTTGTCTCCTGGAAACCAGCTCTCCTCCATTTTCTGGTAGAGTTACAACATGACACAGCTTACCTGACTCAGTTCCCAGCTTTCAACCCAACTACTCACTTCCTCCCCCAAACCCGCAAGCAAGCCACCTCCAGACACAAAACCAAAGCCAACCCAACAGTCAACACAGACTCTCAGACACAGCCCCCGGGAGCCCTGGGAGGAAGCCCCAACTGGTTGGTCTTTTCCCATCCCAGACGCGTGCTTAAAAATGAAACTTTTTTTTTTTTTTTGGGCCAGGGAAGGGATCTAAAAGGAACTCCAGACAGCCTCCCTCCCTCGCTGTAGGTTGGAAGCTCTAATGAAAAGAAAAGGAGGGTTCCTTCAGGAATGGTGAAAAGCCTGGAGAATGAACGTGAGAAGGAGCTTTGTGTTTTGGAGTCTGGACTGGAACCAAGGCAGACAGCTTGCAAATGGAGGACAGGGAGATAAAGAAAGGGAAAGAGAGGGGCTGCTCCAAGGGGGGGCGGCTGCGGCTTCCCCTCGTGCCTGGGAAGAGGGGAGACCCCTGGGAACTAGCACCAGGCGGGAGACGACCCCCGGGCCCCTCTGCCTGCTTGCCTCCCTTCCCCAGAAGAGAGCCTGGCGTGTGTAATGGCTTCTCCTCTCCAGAAACCGTTGTCCTCCACCAGACGCTTCTGAACCCCCAGCCTGGAGGCGGCTCCTCGGCAGCTCCTGAACCTGCGCGCCCCCCCGACCCGCCCCGCGCCCGCCCCCAGCCGACCCGCGCCCCCTTGCTCCTTGCTCCTGGGCTCATCAGCAGCACCAGCAGCGGCAGCAGCCTCCGCCCCCCCCTCCCCACCTCCTTTCCCAGACCCCGCATCCCAACTTCAGGGAGAGAGCAAGAGAGAGAGAGAGCAAGAAAGACAGAGCAAGAGAGAGAGAGAGAGAGCAAGAGAGAGAGATCCAAATACCTGAAGAAGAGGGGGGTGCCAATCCACTCGGCTTTGCCAACGGGCGCGCGGGGGACAGGCAGACAGAGGGTGGGGGGGGGGGTGGAGAGAAGGAAGGAGAGGGACCGAGAAAGAAAGAGGTCAACCCCGCTCAGGTCGGGGCTGCTCCGTGCGCTCTCTCCTCTGCCCCTCGCTCGCTCCCTCTGGTCTCCTCGCCTCGCGCCCTGCGCCCTGCGCCCTGCGCCCTGCGCCCTGCGCCCTGCGCCCTCCGCCCCCCTTTTCTCGGTCCCTACTCCAGCAGTCCCCAGACTCGGAGCATCCGTCCTGAGCCTCCTGCTCTCTTCTCACTCATCTTTCATCTTTCTCTCCGCTCCCTGAGAACTACACGAAATTAATTAAGCCACCGCGCTCGCTCGCTCTCCCACCGCACCCCCCCGCCCCAGCCCGAGCAGAAGGAGCAGCCAGCAGGAAAAGCACAGCCGCAGCCGCCGCCACCTTCGCCACCTCCTCTTCCTCCTCCTCCTCCTCTTCCTCCCTCTCCTCCTCTCCCTCCTCCCCTCCCTTCCCTCCTCCTCCTCTTCCTCCTCCTCCTCCTCTTCCTCCACCTCCTCCACCTCCTCCTCCTCCTCCTCCTCCTCCTCCTCCTCCTCCTCCTCCTCCTCCTCCTCCTCCTCCTCCTCCTCCTCCTCCTCCTCCTCCTCCCTCCAGCTCCTTCTCCTCTTCCAACAGCCAGTCCGTGCCGGGGACTCTCCTGCAACCCTGCTCGGCCGAATGAATGAGCGCGTCGGTGCCTCCACCGCCCGCCGGGCGCTCTCGGGTCCCCGCCGCACTCCGACCCCCCGGGAGGTGGTGGTTAATTGCAGTAACTTACAGAAGCAGCGTCCCGGGCGCCGGGAGGTGTTTCGGGGTCTGGCCAGCCCCAGCGCCTCCTGCTCCTCTTTCTCTTCCTCCTCTTCCTGCTCGGGTTATTGTTGTGGAAGTTGTTTGGGAGTCTCATGTGCTCCTGCCGGGTCTCAGCAATGGAGGATCGCCATCTTCCCTGCCTTCCCCGGCTCCTCAGACTCGCTGCAGCAGCAGATGACCTGAGATATCCGTCTCTCCCTCTCCCTCTCTCTCCTCTCTCCCTCTCCCTCTCCCCCTCTCCTCGCTCCCTCCCTCCCTCTCTCTTCTCTCTCCTCTCCTCCCTCTCCCTCGCGCGCTCGCGCTCCCTTTCTCTCTCTCCTCTCTCTCTCTCTCCCTCCCTCTGTGTCTCTCTCTGAATAATGAGCAACCGGAGGGAGAGGAGAGAGAGAGAGAGAAAGCAAGACAGAAAAGAGAGAAGGAAGACAATCTTCTCCTGCAAGCCACACAAAAACGCCGGAGCACCAGGGGGTGCGCGAAGCCTTTCTAACAACAACAACAACGTGCAGGAGGAGCGAGGAAGGAAAAAGAAAGGACGCGATGGGGAGAGGGCTGGCGAGGGGGAGGTCGGGAGCGGGGACCGGGAAGAATGCTCCAAGAGCTGGAGAAGAGCAGGAGAAGCCGGAGGAGATGCTGGAGCGGCGGCGGCGGCGCCCCCCTCCCCTCCCCGCCGCTGCGCCCCAGGAGGAGGCAAGGTGGTTGCAAAGTTAAGGCTGGGACATTGTCTTTGTCACTCCGAGCAACCCGGAGCCAGGCCAGTGAGATGCAGGAGGAGGCGGCGGCGGCGGCGGAGGAGGAGGAGGAGGAGGAGGAGGAGGAGGAGGAGGTGGTGGAGCAGGAGGAGGAGGAGGAGGAAGAGGAGGAGGAGAAGGAGGCAAAGGAGGAGGAGAAGGGGAAGAGGGAGATGAGATGAATAAAGACCTGCGGAGAAGGCGGTGCGAGGAGCGCGGCCGCCCGGCAGAAGCGTGCGCGCTCGCGTCCCGGAGGCACCCGGCCGCCCCGGCCCGCAGAGGAAGCCCCCAGTGCCGACCCTACCCCGCAGCTCATAACGCTCCCACCGTCAGCTCTGCCAGAGGCTCCGAGCCCCGGTCCCAGAGGGTCCCTCGCACGCATCCATCCAGAAGCCACTCTTTGCAGAGCACACACACACACGGGGAACTAGAGGTTGCAAGTCTAAGCCCAGATCAACCACGTGGGGCTTTTTAATCCCTTTCCAGTTTGCGGTTGTGAGTATCTCCAGTGCAACGCTCCATAGTGTCCATTACCGGCACGCATTTTTGAAGGCTTCGCCCCCGAAATAAATAAAGGTTCATGGTGCATTTCATTTCCTTTCTGATTTGGGAAGGGGGAGTTGGAAGAGAGAAAGAACCCATCACCCCCGAGCCCCTGGAACCACCACTTTCTTTTCCTAACTTGTGAAATGTTTTGACGGCGCACCGAGAGGGAGGTGGGTGGTGGCGAGGGGGCAGGGGGGGGAATCTACTTAAATAACTTTACACCCTCCAGCCCCGCGTTGTTTGCACTTTCTGGCTCATCATCTAAAGGTTTGCAAAGTAACAATCAGCGCTCCTAATCATAAGGTGTCATGGGTGTTGAAGGCAAGAGGTCCAACATGAAGCTTTCACACCTTGAATTTTTTTTTTTGAAATACAATTTTTCCAAAAATCATTCTGAACTCTCTTGCAAAGGATCCGGTACCCCGTCCCCTCCTCGTACCCCCCACCCACCCACTTATTTTTTCTAACCCGGTCAAATGTGTCCTAAGGCTTTAAATATGATGGGAAGGGGAGGTGCCTACAGTATTACAGAAAAAAAAATCAATACAGCAAGTCAGGAGCAATTGAAGTTCAAGGGCATGGGCTGGTTTTACCGATTCTATTTTCTCGCATCTTCGAGTAGGACATCAACAACCTCGGGAGGGAGAGAGCAACACGCCGCGCGCGCGCGGGGCGAGACCTTAATTAAAGTTTCTTTTGTCAGCGTCCGAATTGGGGGGGAGGTCTGCTGGATTCCTTTGCATAGGGGAGCACGCATCCGGTGGAGAAGGCGCGGTTTGTGGACGATCCAGGAGCAAGAACGTCCTCTCTGATACTCCCTCCCGCCGCCCCCTCCCATTCCGAGCACGGTCCGGGCCGAGAGACCCATAAACCCATACAATAAAGAGGGAGGAGGAGACGCGCGCGGAGTTGGTTCCCATAGGATAGCGGGATTTTCATCAACACCTCCGAATCCTCATTTTTTTTTCCTCCTCCAAAATCCTCCCCACCTCGTTTATTCCTAGGCAGCATCCTCTCACCCAGAAGCACGATTTCAAACCCCCACCCCACCCCCCCACTCCCGGTTCCCCTAAGCGGTCCCCCCCACCCACCCTCCTTACCCCGTTCCACTCAACACTTCCTGCCCTTTTTCTCCTCCTCCCACACATACACACATTGAAAAAGCTTCGGGAGCCCTAAAAGGGTGCTGATGGCGGGGGTGATAAATAAATAAATAAATAAATAAATGACACTCTACACGCGTGCGGTGGAGAAGAAAGGAGGGAGGGAGGGAGGGAAGGGAAGGGAGGGGGGACGGCCCCGAGGGTGCGGAGATGTGGAGGAGAAGAGAAAAAAAAAGAAGAAGAGAGGGGGGGAAAAAAGTCGGGAGAGGATGGACAGGACGGAGAAAGGGAAACGGGAGTCCAAAGAAAAGAGGAGCGAGAAGAAAGGAGAGAGGATGGTTGAGGCTGCTCCCAACTGCAACTGCACGGCTCGGCTTTGTGCACCACCAGCGCACGGGTCCCCCCCCCCCCCACCCCGCTTCCAGGTGCCTGCAGGGAGCTGGGGAAGTCCTGGAGGTGCCCCGAGCTCCTCCCTCCCCCTGCGGTACCCCCGGGGTGTCAGAGCGCTGGCCGCGGCTCCCCGAGACATTCCTCGTGGCCAGCAGAGGAAGCGCGCCAGGTCTCGGCCAGTCCCTTCTGTGGCCCCGGCTGATCATTTACCTCTTTGTCTTTAATAAAAAAAAAAAAAAAAAGCCGACTTTCCACCCCCCCCCCCCCCGACTCTGTCAAGCTCTGGCACCGGGAAAATCACCATCGTATTGCATGCAGCTTGAAAGCGCCTCTGAACTGCGTGGGTTGGGGGTAGGGGGTGGGGGTGGGCTGGGGGGTGGTGGTGGTTGGTGGTGGTGGTGGTGGTGGTTGTGATTTAAAAAAAAAACAAAACAAATTCTACGGGGACGTGGAGGTACCTTCTGGGGAAAGGCTCGGGTCGTGGCGGGAGCGGCGGGGTGGGGTGGGGGGTGGCGGGAGGGCCCCCTTCCCAGGGGGTAGAAACTTAAGGAACCCGGCGGCCGGGAGGGAGGAAGGAGCGCCGGGGTCAGAGGAAACCCCAGGCTCCCCGGGCACCGCAGGGCTTCCCGCAGTCGGGGAATGAGCCCTGGGGAGGGGCCTTTCCGCGAGAATGTGAGCGCGCCCCAACACGCCCCGGACCTCGTAAACCCACTTGGCAGCGCGCAGGGAAGCGGCTGGCGGAGCGGCGGCGGGCGAACTCCAGAAATTAACCTGCGCTACCTGCAATTAAACGGGCGGCAGCCCCTTTCCCACTCACCTCGAGCGACCGAGATAGCTCCCGAAGCGGCCGCGGGGGGACCTGGCTCCTCCCTCCCGTCCCAGGAGAAGAGGACAAAAAGGGGAGATGGACTTGGAGATGGCCCCGCCCTTCCAACGCTCCAATCCTTGGAAGCTCAACCTTCCTCTCCAAAGCCTCCACGGTCTACCGGGGACAAAGACGAGCGAGGAGAACCAGAGCCCGATGGGGAGATAGGTGGGCTGTCGGGCTCCCCCGCGGCGGGCACCGCGGGCGGGGACAGCGGCCAACTTTCCATCCCGCATCCACGAGGGCCCTGGGGAGACCGTTTTCTGCTTTAGAAGCAAACGGACTTCCCCCGAACCGTAAAGGGGACTCTTTCAAAAGTCCCTCGCAGCCCTGCTTTCTTGGAATGTGGTAGGCTGAAATCTCAATGAATGAGGTCATACACCTTTTTATCCCCTTTTCCTTCGACTTTTTTTTTCTTTTTGGGAGTCGCAAGTGCCTTTTGGAGCCACTGTCCAACTGATATCACCGAAAAGAGTTGAACGGAGTGTTTGAGTAGGCTTTTTTTTTTTTTGGAGGTGGGGGGGACACGACGGTAGTTAT